GCTTTTATACTATATTATAATATTTCTGTTCCATTTAAACCTTGCCATGTATTAGGAACCACATTCCAGCCTTGTTTAAGCATGCAAATCATCCAACAAAATATGAAGAGGAAAAATCCCAGTTATTCAACACTCCTTCCCCCTATGGGACACCTTTAAACTCATGCAAAACTGCACACACACAAAGCACAAGCTGTATACATTTCTGAATTCCTCCAAACCTGTTTCTAAGTTCAAAATATGTGACCCTGAGCTGCCTTTACATAAAGCCTCACTGGGAAGTTCTAATTGTGCTTTGAGTTCACAGATGTGGGTAAGCCACTTCTCATTAAACTTTCTAGAGCTCCATGAACCCTTTGACACGCATTTTCACATGTAAATATAAACACTGTCAAGCTTGTGAAACTTTGGTTCATTCTCCTCCAGAGGAGAACAAGGATCAACCACAAAAGGAAGCAGCCAGTTGGTTTTTTCTTATATACTATAGGCTCAACCCCATATAAACCACTAAAATCTGCTGTAATAACCAGTTTGGGACTTTGGCTGTTTCATTCATTAAAGCATCAGGACCTCACTATTAATTACACATTTTTTAGATAAAAGGGGTGAAAGAAGAGGAAATGGTGACCAAAAAAAAAAATCCCAAGAAAGTGTTGAGTATCTTTTTATTGAAAGACAACAAACACAAGCGAGCCATTAATAGTGGCAAAGATGGGGGGGTGGAGGGGATTTCAATCAGCCTTTTCATGTTTTATTCATTTTTAAGTAAGAAAGCCTTTCCCTCTGTCCAGTTTTTGCCTTTACTAACATAACCAGACATCAGGCATTGCACACATCCATCCCCTTTCTGATGCTGCCTCAATGATTATTTCAGTTCTGACACGACGACAACCAACCCAAGCACTAATAAAGGTGGGATTTTCTGTCTGCAAGTGGACAAAACAGATGCTCTGTGCCAGAGATATCCAATCTGTGGCCCACCTGGAAAATTCATCTTACTTACAATCTATTCCTACCAGCTTTTGAGCACTAAGAAGATGCCTACTGAGACACATTATGGCAATGCAATACTGAGTGCACTGAATTTATGGAAAAGGTCCAGCCAGGCTGTCAGGTCCCCCTTGCTTTAAAAAACAAGCTACGTGCTCTGACTCAACCACAGTGCTGGATCTATTTCCAAACTGAGCATCTGTAGTAAGTTCTGATTTGAAGCATGAATCTTTATCAAATATTAATTAAACTCTAGTACAGGAGTGGAGAAGCGCAGCTTTTAAACCTATGAATGAACAGAAAGGCATGTGCTATAAAACTATAATGTTAATTATTGCTCTTCTGTCAGGTGGTTGGGAGAGATTATTCTTAAGAACTACAAATCACCTGTGACAACTTCCAGATTTATCCAGCAGGAAGAGCTCTGAGATAACCTGCAAAGGCCAGCAGGTATCAGGAAGTCAAGCAGACACTCACAACCACTGTGGTTTGTTCAGGCTGTTATTTATCTACATTAGGACAGTCCAGTCTTATCATGCACAGGCCCATTCCTTTTGGCAGGAGTCTCCTCATGTGTCACTCTAGACTTGCTGTCTGCTTTCTAAGTGAACAACCATATGAAAGCAGAGAAGTCTCTTGTCTTTGGGGAGGAAAAAATGGTAGGTCAGATGGAATTATGCTTCAGGCTGAACAGAACACTCCACGGGCTGGAGACTAAACTAAGCTAAGGCAGTGATTTAACAGACGTGGATATGAACTCAGCTCTTTTCCTTACAGTCTCCAACAATCCCTAAAAACTACTTGTATAAATATTTGTGCAATTAATCCAACCATAAAACCATTCAGACCTTTTTACTTATACAGCCCACTAAAATTTCCAGCATACAAGAAGGGCTGCATGATCAAACCTCAGTCACATTTACAAGCACAATCCAGACTCGGATATCCTGTTGGATTAGTTTTAATCTACATTTTTTTCACTTACTCCAACATCAAAACAGTCAGTTCTCTTAATTTGTTTACTCATTTTCTTCCTGTACCTGTCACTGTGCTCTGTTCTTACTGAACAGTTAAGATTATCCACTTTTAATTGGTTTTTCCACTCTTGGCCAGAAAGAGTGAGTCTACCAGAACACATATACATGTATTTTAAGGCTTATATCACTATACCTATAAAAGCCTGCTTTAATCACCTACCATTTATACACAAGATAACCATGAAAAAGCAAATATTAATCTTTTTAGAAGTAGGGTTTTTTCATTACCATGCTCTCTTTGTACTCTGCCAGTCCCCCCACACTCTCTGGGGTCTATATTCTGAATTTTCACGCATACCATAAAGTATCTTTGGAATGTTACAGTATAATTGTTTAGAGAAACATTTAACGGATGAGTAAGCATCAAGAGGCCAGGGCTAAGGGAAAAGAGAAGTTAAAATGCTGGCAGTATTTTGTATTGAATGATCTTCTCAGCATGAGGACAAGGGGATGGACATTTGATCCAAAAATATGGTATTGACTCAAGTGATACAAACCCAGAGCCAGCATGGAGGATAGGAAGGCACCTACCAAAATATCTGCTCCCACCCACCCCTCCCAAACTGGGCTTTGGGCACTGGCCAGTAGAGAAATCCAATGTTGTTTGATCAATAACAGGAATATTACGATCGGGGACGACATGATCTTGACAACTGGCTCTTTTTCCTTTTTTAATGCTTTCCCAATTTACTTCCCAAATAATCTGCATGTGCATGATAGAGAAATACAGAATTAGCTGGAAAGAGAGTCAGGCATCGAGTACAGAGGCGGCTACAAAAAAGCTGAGCATTCTTTCACTACAAGGAACTGCTGGAGACAACACGCTGTAAATTAAAGCAAATTTTCCTGAATTCCCTGAAGGATGCTCCTCTCAGAGATTGTACAAATCCATTAGCACAGGTCCATCATTAGTGTTTTCTTGGGGTTCATTTTCTGAAGAGAGTTTAAAAAAGCACACCCAAAATAAAGTGTATGGAGTGGGACAAATCAGGCCTAACCTTACATAATTGATTCATACCCTGATTATTACAGCACAGCTGAGAGGGCTTTTACTCTCAATTCCTCCTCAGCCACATACTTCAAGTAAGAAAAAAACAAAATAATCATCCCCCTACCTGAATTCCTGACCAGAAGAAGGGACACAGAGGCAGGAGAAGTGCTGACATGCTCTGGAGACCAAGCAGTTCTGTGATAGCAGAGCCAGAAAAGCCCAGCTGCCCCAGCCTGGTGCCACAGCTGAAGCTTATCCCATGATTGGGCACCTAAACTCTCCCTCCGAGGGGGTTCTGTGGTGCTTAACAACAAACAAGTTACAGCTGGTGCAGCACAACCTCTCCAAGCTTCAGACTTTCATAAAGTTCTCAGAAATGTGTTGCCTCTGAGGAATTGCTGTTCCTGCCTTAAGTTTGGTGGAGAGCAGGTAACGTGTTAAAAATCGACGAGGGGCACACAAATAGTGTGACTCTATAAATCTGAGCTTGTTAATAAACTCATGGATGAGTGGCACAAGTTCTGCTGTGGAGCCTTCCAGTTCCAAACTCAATGGATTTTTTAAAATTCCTAATATCTCTGTAAAATGGGCGAATCTAAACCATCTGTAAAAACAGTGGATTGATTAAGGCTTTAAGAGGTATCTGTAGGCACATGAGGTTGCAAGAGACTTCCCAGGTCACCATATTTGCATCCTACTATCAAAACCACTGTATTAAATCATCTCTTCCAGAACAAAGACTTCCCTATCTTAAAATGAGTTTTCTTTTTTTTTTTTTTTCATATCCTCCCTTAAATAACCTCAAAATTAGGATATTCCTTTTCATTTTCAGCTTAATTCATTAAAGACCTCATCCAGTGGCTTTTTAGATGAAACACTACAGACTGTGTAGGACAAGTTTTTACATCCTCAGCTTTTTCTTTCTCTTCACCAACACAGTGATCCAGGTGCTGCTGTCACATAAATTCACCAGATTAAATCTCTGTTTTTTCTAATGCCATACTCAAAGGCGAATCCAAATATTCTGTGGGTAACTTTTCCTGTAATTGCTTTCCCTTGGTGAATTGCAGGGAACTGTAACATCACTACTGACTTTAAAACAGGGTCTGTAGACTCCTTCCTGTGTTACAATGCCCAGAAGAGCCTGTGAGTATGTCTTTGGGGTTTGGTAATGGGGAACACAAGACAGTTTATAATGAAGTCTAACAAACTGGGTATGTTAATCTTTTCAGCCACTTAAATCCAGGGAAATCAAAAGCAAATGTCTTCCTACCATAGCATCCCAAAACCCAACCCCAAATACTTGGATCTTAATGCCTGCTGGGATGTTTTCTGCTAACCATCCATTAGGTTTCTTACAATATTCCATGCAACATTCCCCCACAAGCTGGATTGATTTCTTCCACGGCTTAACTTGTTTTTGCCAAAGTCTCTTTTAGTTCAGCACTGGCCTCCTGCCTAATGAAACAACCTTTCTTTATGCCAAAACTGTCATCTTCAGTTGCACAAGATGCATCTCACTTACAAACATGTGTAATGAGCCCAATGTTTAATGCCTGGAGAACTGCTATTTTCAAATGATCCTGAGCAAAACTTAAAACAGACACAGGAGTGGTCGGTACCTTGGGTGGGAAAGGAGTCGTTCTCAGGAAAGACTTTTTTCCTTTTGTGCTTAAATACACCTTTTACAAACAAATCCCTGATCATCAGAACACAAAAGCAGATGTATTTAAGCACAACAGCAGTGAGACATGGAAGGCTCACCCCGAACTGAAGTGAAAGCTTCATTCTCACCCAGTGTGAAGTCATCCTTCACATGCACCACAGCCTTGGCTCTTATCAAACAGACTGGCCTTTAAATACAAGAATCTGATAACCTTAGTAAGTTATCAAGCATTGCTAATGACTGAAAAAATCCATCTAAATAAACCTCCTGCTCTATTTTCCTGCCATAATTTTAGATACAGCTGGAACAAAAATACCTGTGTGAGAAGTTGCTCTTGGGTCAGGTTATTGATCCAGCGAGTGTATCGTTCAGTGGAGTCCAGTGGCTCTCTTCTGACTTGGCAACCAACAATCTAAAGCAAAACAAGATAAATCCCACAGTGTAAACTGCTGCACACCCACATGGCAACAAAACAAGTTCATAAAATAAACATTCAAAACATGGCAAGTCCAAGAATTATCTATACACTCCTTGTTACCCCCCTTTCATGTCCATAATATCATATGGCACAGTTGCTCTGCTCAACTGTTAATTAGTTACAGACTCTGAGGGTCTCTAGAAAACCAACATTGAGAAGTGTCCTTCCAACAGCTTCATTCATGGGAATATTTGAACCATTTTGGTTGAAATTTTCAGACGAACGTAGACATCTAAAATGCAAAATTTCACCCAAAATAGTTAAGGTTTGGCAAATGAAAATGGGAAGTTGAATAACACCAGACAATTGTACCAACAGTGCCATAAGCCACAATACCACACATGACTTTTAATTCATATAAAATAAAGAAAAAAAACCCAAACTGTATTAATCTTCAGATAGTCAAGTTCTGTTCAAGAACAGGTGGAAAACTTCCTTGGTTTATTTTCCACCCTAAGGAATGAAGTGCATATACTGAGCACAGCAAGTTTCAATCTTCCAGGTATCTGTATTTACAGAGCTGTAAACCCCACACAGATGGGAGCAGTCAGGCTGGAATTCTGCACGTGCAGTTATGAATACTTTTGATGTGGGAACAAAAACACCACGAGGAGACCTTGCTGGGGGACTGCTGGCAATGAAACATCACCATTTAAGACTATGATTAAATACAGTCCAAATAACAACCATGGAAAAAAAAAAAGAAAGCAAGATTTGCTTATCCCATAAGAATAAACCAAAATGTCTCTGAACTATGAAAATATTCCTCAATGACAATGACAAATTACTATGGAAAGTTTCAATCCTTACCCTAACTTACTCCTCAATCACAGCTAGGTAATAGCAAGACCTTTTCAGAAGGTTAACCTAAAATTCTTTTAAACTGAATATAAATTAGTAGAGTTCCTAGAGGTGTTTTTAATAGGGGCACTCCACAGAGATAAAAACTTGACAGAAGCTGTGTCAGATGTACATACATCCTGTTCTTCAAGGATTATTTTTATTTAAGAATAGAACTACATACAGAACTCATTCATTATCTGGACAATAGAACATTGTAATCCACACTTAGCAATCTTATACTTGTTTCATATATAGAATTAAAGAAAGAGAGGGGAAAAAGGATTGATATACTTAACACTTTACTAAAATGTCTTCCATAATAGTGGCTTTAAGTTTGCTTTTCCTTAAATTACCTAAATGTGCTATGCACACACATATCTAAAGTGTTTCCTTCCAAAAGGCTTTCTAATTATTCCTCAAATCTATTCTTTTACAAGCAAATTGAATTTCTGTCTTCACTCCTCCTCCTCATTCCAAAAACCAAACCTACACAACAACCTGGCAATTCCTTCCTTTACAAGCAAAGGAACAAAGCAGCCATGGTTGGTGTTCTTGGTGGCCTTTCACTGCATTTTCACAGAGGAACCAAACCCATCAGCAGGACACATAAAAGAAAGGACCTCCCTCCTGCAGGAGATGGTATAATAAAGCATCATTTAACCACCTTCTTTATTTATAATGGCATCACATCAAAATACATAAAATACAGAATTACTGCTTGTTCCTGGGAACAGCTGCATTTTAACCTTGTAACACAACAGGAAAATAGCTACAAACACATAACAAAGTCACCACACTGCAAGAGGCGAAATGTTTGCTCTCCCCTCTGCCCTAAGACCTCCTGCTTGCTTTCCATTTTCAGGACCAACACCACTCAAGACCACTTTTGGCATCATCTTAAGAGCTTTGTTTTACAGACAAATCCTAAAATTGTGGCTATGCAATCAAATTTATTTCTAGATCTTCAGCCACACACATTCCACACCTTTCTGCTCTTTAGCTGCGCTATTTCTCTCCCAACAGGACTCTCACTCATGACTGGGATTTTTGTCTTATGGTTGCAAGATAAACACCACCAACCTGAGTCTTTGATACAGGATCTGTAAAGCCCAGCTCATGTAACCAGACAATGAAAATCAGATTATTTAGAGTAAAACCAGCTTCCTCCAGCTCCCCTGTGTAAGGTGTGGCAGCAGAAACAACTGCACACTGATCCACATTTCCTCAGTGTCTCACAAAGCATTTATATTCATTCAGTGAATATTTCTTCTTGGCTCCTAAATTGAAGTGAAAGTTTTCTCACTGTTGCCTCTTTCATAACTTTTAAAATACTTTGATAAAAATCTTTCTGGCTTATTTTACACCCATTCAGACCTTCCAGAAAGCACAAGGAACTCCATATTATAAATATGCTTTTCAGTATTTTGAGAATCAGTTTTTATGCAAAAATATAGTTCAGCCAAGTTTCAACTTTTTGATCTAATTAGACAAGTTTATTTGTATTATTACAAATGCCAACTGTATACTGGCACACACCTGTACCAAGATTAAACTATGTAATATATACAACAAATACAATACATTTCTTATTCCAACTGGAAACTTGCTGAAGTGCAGTATTAATATTCCTTGTATAGGAAGCAGTAACGTGACCCATGAACAAAAATTGTTTCTGGCCCATAGCAAAGGACTGTGGCAGTTCATGGAAAAGCAAAACTCATCAGGAGAGAAAATCATGACAGTCCTTTCTTCTACAACAGCAGATGATGTAATCTGCTTTCTAGACAGACAATTACTTTTTTAATGTATTTAAGGTGACTTAGAGTTTATTCAGCTATTTATTTAATTGCAATCAGCATTGGCCTCTCTGGAAAAAATATAGAAAAGAATTTATACTTTATTGCAGCAAGAGACAGTGATAGGAAAGAATAGTAAGAGCAATAGTGGGTTTGTCTTAACTGCCAACAAACACATTTGCTGAAAGGCCATACAAGTAAACTTTAAAAATATAAACAGCTTAAAATGAGCTTTGTAGGAAGAAGTGGGCAAATATTCCACCAGTAGCTGCCAACCCTCTCTTGATGGTCTCAGACAGCCTAAGATGTCAAAATAACATTACAGGTCTATGTTTAAGGACCTGTAATAACTCTCCCACTTCACATAATTAGGAGTGGAGTTAATGAATCATATCTAAATAAGATTATCAGAAACAATATCACAGTTATGTACTTTATGGCACTACATTTAAAACATTTTCAGGAGTTAGAGAACTATAAAGCCAATCCAATATGACAATGATACAATTAAAACAGTACAAATAACAATATAAAATAAGGTTTCTCCATGAAACAGTTGCTCTAAGCTGGTCAGAGAACCCTGGGTTAGCCATGATATCTGAAATATAGATTTAATGAGCACATTCAATAACTTGTTGATTAATACAAAGCCCTGAGGAACTAGGCAGGATTACTAAATACATCACTAAATGGCACTATGAGCACACACAGTCACAGTTGTGTGAGTTACAAAATTGTTCCCCTGAAACACAAGATTATTTCAGTCCCACATCTGATAGGTACAAACCCCAGCACTCTGTACCAACAGCAGAGGCTGGTTTTAAATGCAATATTCAGGTGGAGATGCTTCTTATTTTCACCAATTTAAGGTTTTTAAGTTTCCCCTTGCACATACAAATGGAAAAGGAAGCAGGTGAGAGGAAACAAAGTTGAAATGAGTTGACAGTAATTAAAACCAACTCACTTTCTGCAGATGTGGCACTTTTGGGTTTTTTAATCACTACAACTTCCTTTACCACAACCTTTCTTATTCAGGAGGCAGCCTATGGGTCAGAACTCTCCCGTTGTACTCAAGAGGAAAGGAGGATGAAATATTAATTAATTAGTCTCCAGTTTTATACCAGTATTTTCCATCCTTGTTTTATAAAAAGAGGAAATGAACAAAGACAGGCAAAAAACATAAACTCTCCATAAGGCAGTAGGCACTGGGTGAATAAACACATGGGAGTCCTTCATATAACAGGTCTTACTTGAAGGAACCTAACCTTAAGTTTTGTTTTTTTTTAATTGAGCAACCACTACTGATACTGAAACAGGTATTGGGAAAATATGCATTTTAGCATGAAAAAATCCACAGCTTTCCTGTACAAAACTAATGCAACTTTCAAAGATTATGTAAAGTAGAAGAGTTTCTTCTACACTCCAAGGAAGAAGGTGCAGTGTTGAGTTTCATGTTAGAAATATGACAGAATGATAGAAAGCTCCTCTTAGAAGAGAACATAATTAGCTACTTAGTGAAGATTTAATTAGAAGCATCATAACATCTGATCCTAGATAATGTTCTGTAAGAAAGACTATGCAAATAACAAGTGATATAGGAAGGATTATCTCTAGGGCATGACACCTTTTTGCCCAATAAGTCTGTTTATGGGTGCCCACAGAGAGAAAAATCCTAAACTAAAGAGCTAATAAGAGTTATTTACGTTATCCTGAATGTTTAAGACAGCTTTAGTTAACCAAGCCTACATCTTGATGTGTAAAGGAAAGGTAGATGCCACCTCTGCTCTCCCTAAACCCTGCTTATTTTTGTTCTAGTCATTTCCACACAGCAATTTCCTTTAAGAAGGATTTAGTGATCATCATTTAATGCAATGAAAAAAAGAAAAATAAACAAAAGGAATAGTTTTATGTAGTTAAAATCTTTCCAAAATTATATACTGGGGGAGGAAGGGAGTAAAATGTATTTCCTCTCCCTTTCATTTCCAAAGCAGGAAACTGTTCTTCAAAACACCCAATTTGCATTAGGTGTAAATACACAAAACACACCCTGGTGTATTTAAAGCATGTCTTAAAAATTATAAAATATGTTGATGGTGCTGGCTCCCCAGAGAATCCTTTAGGTCAGATGAATATCCATTTCCACAGATGTTCTTATCTTGGAGCAATCCATATTTAAGAACACCTGTTAAACATCCTCCTTTGACACTGGTTCAAGTCCAAAGTCCACGAAAGGATGTTACACGTTTATTTTCAGCACATAAAAAGAGAGTAATTAAAAGCCAAGGAAGTCTGGAT